AGACATATTTAAGCTATTAATTTTAGTAAATTAAATAATAATTTTGAAGTAAAATTATTCATTTAACATACAACCTGGTTTCAACTGTTATGTCAGTCTTCGGTCGGGTCAGAGATCACAGATTATGTTTATAAATGACTGCTTTCCCCTATAAACTATGTTTAATCTCGTGACAAACAACATTCATTTCCAAAGTAATTAGTCGCAAACGAAATTTTGGACAATTCATCTTTCACAAATTCTATTTATTTTCTGATAGATTTTTGTTTTCATTAACATTCTTGTCACATAATTATTATTGATTTTCTGAGTTCTTAACCTCTAAATTTTTTCAACTTTGAGGATGACTACTCTCTTGACAAATTCCTTAGTGACACGACCTCCTAAGATATTTCTTGTAATCCGTTGGGAGTTGCTTCCTTCCTTGAAAAATTTCTTACTTTGTGAAGATATATATGCTTTGGGAAAGACAGTCATGTGTCTTATAGGGTATATTATCAAGCATTTCTTCTTTAAATGGCTACACAAAAATAAAATTAAGTACTTTTCTTGTTTACAACTAACAATTTGGCTTACTCCAGTTTTTTTTGCTTATTTATTTTCTGGCTTGTTAATTGAGAAAAATCATGTTTTTTTCCCCTCTATTTTTATAGTGGGAAGAGCTCCTGTCAAATTGCCAGTCATGATGTATATACATGGAGAATCATACGAATGGAATTCTGGAAATCCATATGATGGAAGTGTCTTGGCTAGTTTTGGAAATGTCGTTGTGATCACCATTAATTATCGCTTAGGTGTACTTGGTAAGTAAAAATACTGAAAAAATTCATTTTTCTATTAAATAAGCATCATACTTTATATATAATACGATCGAAGTTTATATATTTCTAATAATTCCCATATATAAAATAATAAATAATGCAAGAATTTCAATAGAGAAATTTAATTTAATAATATAATATTATCAAATTAAATTCTCTCAAAATTATCTGTTTATTGTCTAATGTTGTTTTGACATTTATTATTATGAAATAAGATAATTGTGTGCATTATCATCATTACTTGTTTAATATTATTATATTATATATATTTGAAAGCAATAATTATATTTTAAACTTTACCCTATTCTAGAAAATTTATTAATTATTTTAGTTTATATTTTTTTTAAGATAGACTAAATTAAAATGCTAAATAAGAGGTTAATGCATTTCTGTCATAACTTATACTCATTATCTTATTTACTTTAATTTCTCTAGAGAATTATAAATTCACTAAAGTGATTTTCAGAATTTTTTTTTATTGTTTCCACTTTACATTATTCATTTTAGAACTTTTAACAAAACTTTAAATAGGAATTTATGTTTATTTAGTTAATAAGTTTTTTTTTAATTCAAGAATTTTAGTTCTGTAGGCAACAATTACTGTTTGATGAATCAATACAATTAATTTTAAAATTAAAAAGTGCATTAAAAAAATGCTCTATTTTAATTTTAAATCGGACGTTTCCAACCTTTTTTCCTTGTTGATCCTATTCCAAAATTGGGATTTAATTTGAAAATTCCTTTTTACATCGATAGAAAATAGAATAAATTATAAATAGGATGAATTAGATAGAAATAAATAAATAATTTTTCTTCTTAAATCTTGTTAACATAAATAAAACTTTTAAGTATATTTTGGTAAAGGTTAAAGATAGATTAATCGTTATTATATTTTATTAAATATAATAAGAAATTTTAAAAAATACAGGGAAGAAATTAAGACTTTCAATATCTCTGTCGTGTGCAATCACTAGGAGCGATCTTCCTTTCCGGACATAACCTTTTATTAGAGGCTACGGTTTTGTAAAAATATGCAAAACAGTTTTAAAATGTTCACTAGCGATAAGCCAAAAATTAAAAATACATAGTTTCAATTAAAATGGCATACCGTCAGCCATTTTAATTAAAAATAAATTTGTCTAACAACCCCCCAAAAGAACCCTAGTAAATTTATCGACCCCCCAGATAACTCGAAGATTGCTAGCTACCAGATTGGAAACGACTGATTTGAATAATGTTTATCATCTNTTTTATGTATTTATTAAAATAAAACACTATTTTGACATTATTAAATATCGTAAATCACAATCCCGATAATTACATTTACCTTAAGCATAATAAAAGAAACTATAAATTAATTAATTAAAATTAAATTCTTTTTAATAATGTAATTTTTAACATTTAAATAATATTTTGTCGTAATTTATTTAAATAATTAATTTATATAACTTTCTCAAGTACTAAACAAAAAATTTCTTTTTATACTTGTTCATGTTTAACTTGGTTTTAAAAAACGATCAGAGACATATTTAAGCTATTAATTTTAGTAAATTAAATAATAATTTTGAAGTAAAATTATTCATTTAACATACAACCTGGTTTCAACTGTTATGTCAGTCTTCGGTCGGGTCAGAGATCACAGATTATGTTTATAAATGACTGCTTTCCCCTATAAACTATGTTTAATCTCGTGACAAACAACATTCATTTCCAAAGTAATTAGTCGCAAACGAAATTTTGGACAATTCATCTTTCACAAATTCTATTTATTTTCTGATAGATTTTTGTTTTCATTAACATTCTTGTCACATAATTATTATTGATTTTCTGAGTTCTTAACCTCTAAATTTTTTCAACTTTGAGGATGACTACTCTCTTGACAAATTCCTTAGTGACACGACCTCCTAAGATATTTCTTGTAATCCGTTGGGAGTTGCTTCCTTCCTTGAAAAATTTCTTACTTTGTGAAGATATATATGCTTTGGGAAAGACAGTCATGTGTCTTATAGGGTATATTATCAAGCATTTCTTCTTTAAATGGCTACACAAAAATAAAATTAAGTACTTTTCTTGTTTACAACTAACAATTTGGCTTACTCCAGTTTTTTTTGCTTATTTATTTTCTGGCTTGTTAATTGAGAAAAATCATGTTTTTTCCCCTCTATTTTTATAGTGGGAAGAGCTCCTGTCAAATTGCCAGTCATGATGTATATACATGGAGAATCATACGAATGGAATTCTGGAAATCCATATGATGGAAGTGTCTTGGCTAGTTTTGGAAATGTCGTTGTGATCACCATTAATTATCGCTTAGGTGTACTTGGTAAGTAAAAATACTGAAAAAATTCATTTTTCTATTAAATAAGCATCATACTTTATATATAATACGATCGAAGTTTATATATTTCTAATAATTCCCATATATAAAATAATAAATAATGCAAGAATTTCAATAGAGAAATTTAATTTAATAATATAATATTATCAAATTAAATTCTCTCAAAATTATCTGTTTATTGTCTAATGTTGTTTTGACATTTATTATTATGAAATAAGATAATTGTGTGCATTATCATCATTACTTGTTTAATATTATTATATTATATATATTTGAAAGCAATAATTATATTTTAAACTTTACCCTATTCTAGAAAATTTATTAATTATTTTAGTTTATATTTTTTTTAAGATAGACTAAATTAAAATGCTAAATAAGAGGTTAATGCATTTCTGTCATAACTTATACTCATTATCTTATTTACTTTAATTTCTCTAGAGAATTATAAATTCACTAAAGTGATTTTCAGAATTTTTTTTTTATTGTTTCCACTTTACATTATTCATTTTAGAACTTTTAACAAAACTTTAAATAGGAATTTATGTTTATTTAGTTAATAAGTTTTTTTTTAATTCAAGAATTTTAGTTCTGTAGGCAACAATTACTGTTTGATGAATCAATACAATTAATTTTAAAATTAAAAAGTGCATTAAAAAAATGCTCTATTTTAATTTTAAATCGGACGTTTCCAACCTTTTTTCCTTGTTGATCCTATTCCAAAATTGGGATTTAATTTGAAAATTCCTTTTTACATCGATAGAAAATAGAATAAATTATAAATAGGATGAATTAGATAGAAATAAATAAATAATTTTTCTTCTTAAATCTTGTTAACATAAATAAAACTTTTAAGTATATTTTGGTAAAGGTTAAAGATAGATTAATCGTTATTATATTTTATTAAATATAATAAGAAATTTTAAAAAATACAGGGAAGAAATTAAGACTTTCAATATCTCTGTCGTGTGCAATCACTAGGAGCGATCTTCCTTTCCGGACATAACCTTTTATTAGAGGCTACGGTTTTGTAAAAATATGCAAAACAGTTTTAAAATGTTCACTAGCGATAAGCCAAAAATTAAAAATACATAGTTTCAATTAAAATGGCATACCGTCAGCCATTTTAATTAAAAATAAATTTGTCTAACAACCCCCCAAAAGAACCCTAGTAAATTTATCGACCCCCCAGATAACTCGAAGATTGCTAGCTACCAGATTGGAAACGACTGATTTGAATAATGTTTATCATCTTTCCACACACAATTCTTAAAATACAAAAGCAATTTTAAATTAATTTTTTTTTTAAGTAGAATATAATTTTTGTGTCATGTATTTAACGGAGAATACATTCAATTTTCATACATTTTCCTCTAAAATATTATTTTGTGACTATAAAAATAAGAAATTGATATAAATTTAATTTGAATATATAACATTTTTCAATTCAAATTCTATATTTAATTCCTAGAAATTAAATCTATTTTTTTAATTCAGCATATGTATTAATTCAAAAACATATTAAGTCAATGTAGTAATTCTCAAGAATCCCATGTAAAAAACTAAACGCTATTTAAATAATTTAGTATAAGTAAATATAAATAATTCAAATTGAATAATTAATAAATTAACATATGAAAAAAATTTACTTGATATTAATTAAATATAATTCACCATTTATCATTTCAATTGTATAGCATAACAAAAGAAATGTTATTTTCATAATTCGACTCGATAATTTAATTTCGTTTTTTATTATTTTTTTAAAAAAACTTTTAGCATTTAAAAAAACTAAATGCATTAGAATTTTATCAGAACAGAATTCTTATTTTTATTAAATTAAATTCGATTTTAATAAATACGCAAAAGTCGTAAGTTAAAAAATTTATTCAACTGAACAATAACCATTCATTGTTAAATTTCCTCACTTAACTAAATTAGTTAAATTGTAAAGTGGTAAGAAGTTAAATGTAAATTATTTAATTTACATTGAATTAAATAAATAAAAATTCTATTGTTAATAATATAAAGTAATTTGAAAAAATAAAAATAAAAAAAATTTTTAATTCTTTTATTGTTTATTATTTATAATGACTGTAATAATAATTTTTAAATATTTATGCCTATAGATTTTTATAAAGTATTTAAAAATATATTTACGTTAAATCCAATGATTTATTATAAAAAGTACCTTTTTAAAATACTTATAAAGATTTTAAATATTATTATCTAGAAACTATTTAAAATATTGACATTAGCGTTATTATTTTAGAGAATCAAATGTTGTGAAAATGTGAAAAAAAAAAAAAAATTAAGTTTCTGAATTGTAAAATATTGGAAAAATTTCTATATACAGTAGAGCGTCGATTTTCCGAATCAATTGGGGACTGGGGTTGTTCGTATAACTGATATTTCGGATAACCGATTTATGTACGAAAAAATAGTTTAACGTATCCGATGTTGAAATTTTTCTCCGTTGCGTGTCGCTTCGCGTTGAATTTTCGTCGATGTTAAGCCTAACGAAGACTATTGTATCGTAAAAAATTATTTTTTTATTTTGTACAAACAAAATAAATATATTGAAAAATATAAAAACAATAAAAAA